AAAAGTTTCATCAAGCAAACTACAAATATGTGTTGTATGTTTGTAGTAGAGACACTAAAGAGAGGAGATATTGGTGTAAACGATGCAGAAACAGCTCAGGTCTCTGCTATTTATAAACCAACACTGTAAAAAAGCAAACAGGATAAAAGTCATAACTAATGTTTGTTCATGTTTGTAGGTCTGGTCCACACAGAGCCAGATACCTGGGAAAATTAATACATTATGTCAAATGAAGTTTGAGAAAACTCCATATTTGTGTTTGCGTGTCAGAAAGAGAAAATAAAGATTTATGGCCTTTACAGTCAAATAATTCACCAACATATCAACATACTTTCTTTGATGTGATTCCCAGCCAGCATTATTTTAACTTTATATTGTAAATGTCTATTTAAAAGTAGCTTTGTCCAGGTTTAATTCCTAGCAGGAAGTCAGGGTTGTTTTGAAGCAATCTGATTGGCTGACAGGGTTTAGCTTAGCGCTACGCTGCCCCCTACAGGTTTGGCATGTTGTAGGTTCATGTGAATGAAAACTTTTCTGAAACTGATCCTGTGTGTACGATATTTTTAAATGACGTGGTGGAGGTATTTGTTTTTATAAAGACCTGGCTATGAGTGAACAAGGCTTTATCAAAATGTAAACATATTTATGCTGCTGTGATGGTGGTGGGATTTCAACTTTGCACTTCCTCTTCATGACAATCCAGATGTTATAAAACTTTATGGAAAGACACCGGAGTGGCACAAAAATACAGCGTGTATATGTAACAATATTTGCCAACTCTTTTTTAAATGTAATTTTACATTGTAAACATGATTTTACTGTCTTAAATCTATGAGTAAATAAAAAAGCCTGTTAATATTAGCGTCGTCTCACATTTCATGAAGAAAATACTCATCTTTTACCTCAGATTATTGACATGCTTAATGTCAAATTCCCTCAAAGTTTCTGTAGTTTATTTCTTCATTTAGAACTACCAATATGTCTTTGCTTAGTGATCAGTTGAGTCTCTGGTGTGTTGAAAAACTGGGAGAGAAAATGGGCAAAATAAAAAACTCTGACCTCAAAACATTGATAAACAGCCAATCTAATTTATTTTGTGAATCGTTCCAAGTCTACTTCCATTTAAGATGTTGGTAGTTTATAAATAAGAAGAAACCAAATTCATAAAAGTGAACAAGCTCTCCCTCTGCCTAAAAACATGCTTTAATCTTACCAACAGTCATTTGTTTTTCTCTTTACAATGCTGATACAAAAAGTATCAAACTGGGATTTAGAATTGGTGCAAATCCAAAAAAACCAAGTTTACTGATTCTGTAAATAAAAAAAGCACCTCAGATAGATCATCTCCTAAACGTTTATCTCCTGAAAAAAATATTTTAATGGACAAAGAGAAGATCTGTCTGTTGCTTGAGGAGAGAGGAGCTGAGTAAGAAAACATGACAGAACAAATGTTTCAATTAAAACAGTTCTTTTTGTAATAGTATCACAATGGCATTGCAACAATAATACATCTACAGTAAATTATGCAGTGTTGTTGGTTACAAAGTGGTGGATTTAGATAATCTGAGTAAATGAGAGCTCTGTTATCCCATGTAAACAAAAGTACAGCATAGAAATAACTGGATATTATTGGGTTCTGACAGCATCGATGCATAGGTCTCAATGCACATCCAATAATAGCCAAAGGTTACACAATCATTCAAGTTCGTTGAGAAAATTACAATTTGAAATTGCATTCAATCTGGTAATAAAAATAATTAAACAGCAGGTTCATTATGTTACAACCAGAAAGGTACAAACTTCAAACAAACTTCAGTACAGCTGCAGCCCTGCTGCTTTCCCTCGATCTAAATGCGTCTCCAGTCCACCTGCATACATCCACCCACTTTGCCGCGGTTCACTGACAATGAAAGAAATTATTTTGATGATGACCTTTTTTTTTTATAACAATAATGAAACAAAGACAAAAATAACATGGGTCTTTGATGACTGAGACATGACTGAGACGGATATTAAATTTCCCTTCGAGATCAATAAGGTATTTTTTAATTTGAAAGTCTGAATTTATGTTGTTGAAACAAAACTAGACGAAAATGTTTGTGGCTTGTCTGTCTGAAATCCAGAATATATGACATTTCTGCCTTCTGTGTTTGTCAGTCCAAAACTAAAATATATCAGTAATGCTGATAAATTCTGTTTGGACCCAGACATTTTCATCAATCACTGAAATATCCTGAGATGCAACAGACAGAATGTGAGGAGTGGACAGGAAAATAAAACGATTATTCCGTACATATTATTCCATACGTAAAAGCACTTAGCACTCATTAACAATACATTGGTGGAAGTGAGACTGTGTTGCGCAACACAAACAATCATCCAGCCGGAACACATGGTGCAAACAATGACATTATTTAATAAAGCTTCAAGGCAGATAATTTGCTTTGAGGAATTTTAATAATCAAGGATCTTGAATCATTCAATGAATTTTTACAGCCTTACTTTGAATATACCCTTAATGTGCTTGTGAAAGTGGCTCAAACATCAACCGCAGTTCGTGTAACTGGAGGGTTATTCATGCGTATCAATTCTTTTATGCTTCACGAATGTGGTTTTCCACTTGAACGCTGCCTTACAGACCAAGCAGCTGTAAGATTTCTCTTCAAAGTGGGTCTTTGTGTGTTCTACTACAGTCTGTCTCCTCTTGAAAGCTTTCTTACAAACAGAGCAGCTGTAAGGTCTCTCTACAGTGTGGATTGTCATATGTCGCACTGAATCCTTCTTGCATTTAAAAGCTGCGTTACAGACAGAACATCTGAAAGGTCTATGCCGACTGTGAACTGCCATGTGTGTTTTTTTAAAATAAACTTTTGTCAAAACACCACTGCTACAGACGGAGCAGCTGAAAGGTTTCTCTTCACTGTGTGTCTTCATGTGTTGTGACAAAGCGCGATTCCATGTAAAGGTTTTGTCACAGATGGAACAACTGAAAGGTTTTTCTCCAGTGTGGATTCTTTTGTGTTCAAACAAATATGGTCTCTGGCTGAATGTCTTCCCACACTCAGAGCAGCGGTGTAACTTTTGACCTTTCTTGTCAACTGGATTGGTGTTTTTCTTCCCAGACCTGAAACCTGTCTGAGCTTCACTGCTCTCCTCCCAGTTTCCATCACTGTCGTCTGTTCCTGAAGACTCTGGAGAAGAATGAGAAGTTTCATCTTGATCATCTGATTCTAGACATTCATCTGGGTCGGGTTTTATAGTCTCCATTTTCTTCTCAGTCTGGTTATGATGCAGTTCTGGGAGCTGAGGTTTCTCTCCCTCATCTTCACTTTTCACAGGAACAGGACTAAATGGTATCATCTAACACTTGGTCTTGCATTATTATGTCATTATATCTCTTGAAAACAGTGCTAGGTTCCAAACCAAAGACTGAATGCTGAAATAAAATCAAAAAATGTTTCCATATGGTTTAAGGGTGTACACATTTCTCTCACAAAATGCTTGTTTTCAAACTTACTTGTACAGAATTTATGTCACATTAAGGTGCAGAAAAAATTTTAACTCGTGGTTTTATGCATATCATGGTATTTTAACTGATTCATGTTTTTAAAACGGATGTAAAAGACGATAATTACCATTAAACTGCGAAGCCATTTTTGCTGTGCTCCTCAGTGGTTGATGTGCTTCCAGCTGGCAGACTAAACTAGCAGCAAAAACTCGGAGCTTTGGTTGAGCCAAGACGAAAATTCAGCAAAAACAAAATGAAAACCCTAAAAAACCGTACAAACAGGGTTAAAGATACTTTTACAAGATTCACGTTGGAAAGCCGACTCAAAACGGAAGTTTTACGTTCTTCCTCTTCTTGATTGTATTTGATTTTTGCAAAAAAGCTGTAGAATGCATTACCGCCACCTGCTGGAATGGAAGAAACACAAACATTTTCACAACAATGGAGATTCATAGAGATAAAATGTAAAATCAAACTTAGTTTTCTGTTTTAATAAAAAAAAAGAGAGAAAGAGATTACCCTCCAACCTCCAAAGAAATACTTTTAATATTTTACATTAAAAAAAATCTGACAGTCATTGCCACAAATGTAACCTTACCAATAAGGATACTTTTTTTTAATATCTAAAAATATTGCCAATTGTATTTTAGTCAAATTCTTTATCTTAGTGGTTAATAATACTTATATTTTACACTCCAATATGTCTAAGAGTCACTTGTAATAGCTGGATTGGACTCTTAAATGCCTCAATATATATTGATTGATTGATTCAATATATCAACCAATAATAGATTGATTTTATTTAAATTGGCAAAGCACATTAATTAATGTAAAATGTTGTCATAAATATACCAGATCTATCAAAAAGCTAATTTCCATCAGTCCCAATTTAATAACTCCTATCAAAATATGTTCACATCTGTATTTCTGTCCAGCTTCTTGTCCTCTGAAGGCATAGATAATCAGTTTAATAGAGGATTGTATCAGAATGCTGGGATTATCATCACAACAAAACTACCTAGAAGTCCCCAAACGATTATGAGGATTCATCAAGAAAAAACATTACTTTCCACCAATCGTCTACTGTACAGGAATCAATTTAATTTGGCACCAGTTTACAAATGTAATCTCAAGGCACTTTACAACACAAAAGGTCCAGTTCATATCCAGGTAACAAGAGTTGAACCCCATCAACACTCAATACAAATCATTCCAATACTGTGGAAAACGATTTTTCTTAGGGACCAAAACCACCTGTGACTATTTGAGACGTCCTCTAAATACATGCTTACATGTTTATTTTGATAGTTCAAAAACAAAATATACTTTAATAGTCATTTAATTGAGGTGTGTTGAACCAAGTTCCTCAAGGTCTGGAACTGAGGACTGGTGTACAGTCATTCTTATCTCTTAAGTTTTGACCGGAGTCTTGGCAGCTGAAAAGTTACTCATCAGTATGGATTTTTATATGATGTGTGAATGTATTTTTCCACTTGAATGTCGCCTTACAAACAGAGCAGCTATAAGGTCTCTCTCCTGTGTGACTTCTCATATGACAGGTTAGACTTACACAGTGGGCAAAGTTCTTCCCACAGACCGAGCAGCTGTAAGGCTTCTCTCCAGTGTGAGTTTTTACATGGGCCAATAAGACGTTTTTCCTTTTGAAAGCTGCTGTACAGAGAGAACAGCTGTAAGGTTTTTCCTCAGAGTGACACTTCATGTGAACAGTTAAATACGACCTGAAACTAAAGCTTCGGCCGCAGACGGAGCATCTAAACGGCTTCTCCCCAGTGTGGATTCTTGTGTGTTCAATTAATGCATTTTTACTTTTAAGAGCTGTACCACAGACAGAACATTTGAACGGTCTTTCCCCTGTGTGGACCTTTGAGTGTTTTTGCAAGTTTCCTTTCGAAGAAAAAGTTTTGTTACAGATGGAGCAGCTGAAAGGATTTTCTCCAGTGTGTATTCTGTGGTGTCCTAACAAACCTTGCCTGCTTCTGAATGTTTTACCGCAGTCGGGACAGATGTGTAACTTTTTACTTTTGCCACATTTTCTATCAACAACAGGAAAAGCATCAGTTTTCACAGAGTTTAAACCTGACTGAGATTCACTTTCCTCCCAGTTTCCATCACTGACGTCCGTCTCTGAAGAACAGTTTGAAGTTTTGTCAGCATCTGATTCCTCAGAGTCTCTGTTCCCCTCAGTCTGACTGGGAAGAAGTTCTGAGAGCTGAGGTTTCTCTTCATCATCTTCACTCTTCACATGAACAGGACTGAAAGTTAACTCTTTGATCTCATTCTCCTCCTCTTCCTCTTTAATCTGAGGAGGATTCTGGTCCTCCTGGTCTGGTCTGGGACTCCAGTCGTCCTCCTCAACAACCAGCTCCTCTTTGACCACCAACACTTGTTGGACATCTGCAGGAAACACAAACAAGTTATGTCAGTTTTCATATCAAATGAAAACTGTGTTTATTGTCAGAATTTGAGAATAAAAACTAAAAATAAATCTACTAAACTGTTGGGGGGAAATCTGATCACCACAACAGCATGATAAGGCAGGGTAGACTCTTTAAAACTGTTCAGAGTCATTGTAAATAAATTATAAAGCCTCATATGTTTAGGCTTAGTTTTGTTGTAACATAATGGCTGAAGTTCTAGAGTGTTCTCCTTCAGAAACTAGTGCTACTAAAGATCCACAGTGAAGATCAGACAAACTTTTGCTGAATTTGGGTAAAAAATAAAGTAAAACTGATTTTATAAGTAATAGGTATAATGTGGCAGTTTGTTTTAATTTTTACTGTATTAACCAGCATTCTGTCACTTTTAAAGCATAAAAAAAATATAACATTATGTGTGTCCAAAGGCCTTAAGTGATACCCTGGGAACTAAAATGCACATTGTGTGTTTGCCACTGTTTTAATACAACTTTTTCTATTTATTTACATAAAGAGCATAATGGGTGCTAGTCATTTTTGCTCCTTTGTTGGATATTTTTTATGCAACTTCAAACATTTTAAAGGCCTAAAATTAAGATAAATAATTTTTATTTTTTTTATGACTAAAGGAGCTGCAAAGCAATCTTAACAGGGCAACTATGTTTCAAACCTTCACTCTGCCAGCTACAATCATTATGTCTGTTAAAATAACCTCAACAAATCAACCAGAGAACATTAGGTTGTGGTATGTTTTTATCTTAAAAAAGAGCTGACAGGAAAAATGATAATATTCTGTCAAATAAACTACTGCTAACTCCAGCATGTATTTTTGCTATAACTTTTTTGTGTGTTATTGCAAAAATAAATTAAGAAAAAATCATGTAAAAAGAAGACATTACCATAACTGTCAGGATTCATTTTATTTTAGAAGCTGTAGAAACAATTACTGCTTTTGTTTTAAATGAAATCAGATTATACATTATCATCGCAATTTCTTTAAGATAATAATGTTATAATGCTATCAAGTGTGTAAAATACCATAAATATTATACTCAAACTGATTACTGTCTAGAAAAATTGTGAAGCATTTTGCTTAAATTTGGTTGTATGTAAATAAATCAGTGATTGTTGGACAATGTTCACAGACTTGCTCAACATATTTTTTTCCCGTTTGTTTTGTTACATTCTAATTTAATAAACGTTAGTTTGTACTTGAAGGTGTGAAATAATCATTGGAAACAAATACACTGTTCCTAAAATGCTACAGTTATGGAAAGATGTAAAACATATAAACCATAAAGCTGAGAGTGCGTCTGCTCACCATCTGGTGGCTCCTCCATCGTCCTTTCCTTTCTCCAGCAATATGGACTTCCTATGTTTTCATACAATCGCAGAAGAATATTTTATCTCCTTAAAGTCCACCAGAAATAGTTCTTCATCAAAGTGTCTCTGACTCGTTGTGCTCCTGTCTGCCTCCAGCTAAAGAGCTAAGCTAACAGTGCTACTTCCGAGAGGACGTTCAGCTAAAAAGAATTTAAGAAAACACGAAAACCACAACAGAGAAGAATAATGACTTTTAACAGAAGCTATTATACTCGTAGGACATTCTCAACGAAGTAACTTCATACACGGAAGGGAAAAAAGGAAACTGAACTTGCCCTCGTAGCTTCTGTTGACAGTCGAAGATCACTTCCGGCCGTTAGTTTTCTGGTCGGATTGGCCTTCATAATAAAAGCTCGCAATAAATATCAACATTACTGAGGAAGTCGTGACTCATTTAGTGATTAGAAGACAAAGTAATGGAAGACAATAAATAGTAAACAGGTTGAAATCATTGACTGAAAAACATATTTAGTTGTGACTTTTTACAACATGATATTTTAAAGAAAGTCCAAGAAAGTCTGTGTTCAAACTTTTTATATTTTAAAACAAGCAAAGTTCTTTGGAAATTTTCTATTAAGGCAACTTGGCTAGTGCTCTAACAAATTATTACTTCTGTAGGTGACAAAAACGTATGAAAAAACCTTAATCAAACAAATTGGATAAGCAGTGGACATTGTTTATAATACAGCGTCACTATAAACAAGTCAATAAAACCAAATCTGAAAATGGCAGAAAGTAAGAAACTCAACACCTGTCTTTTAGAAAGTGATTCTTACAGTAGCTTTCATTTGCATGTACCAACAACCACTGGGAAAACTGCACAGTCTATGCTAAACCAAAACATGAAAACATCTCTCTCTGTAAGTGATGCAGACATGGGTGGACATTCATCTAACATTTATTAAAAATCTGGAAAATGTTTCAACATTAAGCTTCCCTGTGATAAACCAAACAAATATTTAGTTACATCACAATCAGAACCAACAATATTTAACAACACAAACCAAGGACTGACTTTGGCTCTGCTTTGCTCTCAATAAAGGCATTTAAAATAATATAAAATGCTGAACATTGATTAAAACATGAAGTTGATCAACTTCTGTAATCTGTACCATTAACCTTGATGCTCTGAAACCAAGATGCTGCTCAGTTACAGAGGTGCTTGGGGTCGTCGTCTTGGTAAATTTATTTATTTATTTGTACATCACATTTCAGCAACAAGACAGTTCAAAGCTCTTCACATAATTTCTGGGGGGAAATCTCTCTAGGGTATATGGAAATAACATTTCAAAACTGACCTGCATGATTGCACAAATCATGCAGGTCATGATTTGTGCAATCATGCACAAATCATGTGATTGTCAAATCATGACAAATCACAAATACATCAATATTTTGATGTATTGAAGATGCGTGAACATGAACACTTCCACTCTCACGGACTTCATTGTTGAGCTGCATGGATTTTTGAGTGTTTTAAAAATGTTTTTTTCCATTTGAAAGTGGCCTTGCAGACAGAACAGCTGTAAGGTTTTTCTCCTGTGTGACTTCTCATGTGAACAGTTAGATATGACTTGGAACTAAGGCTTTGGCCACAGATCCGACAGCTGCAAGGCTTTTTTTCCGTGTGAATTTTTACATGTTCTGACAACGTTCTCTTTTTTTTAAAAGCAGCATCACAGACAGAACATTTGAAAGGTCTGTTCTCTGAGTGGATCTTAGCGTGTTCTTTCAAGGTTCTCCTGGATGGAAAGTTCCTTTGACAGATGGTGCAGCTGAATGGTTTCTCTTTTGTATGAGATCTCATATGTCGTATTTCGCTTTCTTTCCACTTGAACATTTTTCCGCATATTGAGCAGCTGTAAGCCTTCTCTCCAGTGTGGGTTTTTACATGGGCCAGTAAAGTATTTTTCCTTTTGAAACTTGCTGCACAAAGAGAACAGCTGTAAGGTTTTTCCTCAGAGTGACACTTCATGTGAACTTTTAGATACGAGCTGAAACCAAAGCTTCGGCCGCAGACGGAGCAGCTGAAGGGCTTCTCCCCAGTGTGGATTCTTGTGTGTTCAATTAGTGAGTTTTTCCTCTTAAGAGCCACACCACAAACAGAACATTTGAACGGTCTTTCCCCTGTGTGGACCTTTGAGTGTTTTTGCAAGTTTCCTTTTGAAGAAAAGGGTTTTTTACAGATGGAGCAGCTGAAAGGATTTTCTCCAGTGTGTATTCTGTGGTGTCCTAACAAACCTTGCTTGCTTCTGAATGTTTTACCGCAGTCGGGACAGATGTGTAACTTTTTACTTTTGCCACATTTTCTATCAACAACAGGAAAGGCATCAATTTTCACAGAGTTTAAACCTGACTGAGCTTCACTTTCCTCCCAGTTTCCATCACTGACGTCCGTTTCTGAAGAACAGTTTGAAGTTTTGTCAGCATCTGATTCCTCAGAGTCTCTGTTCCCCTCAGTCTGACTGGGAAGAAGTTCTGAGAGCTGAGGTTTCTCTTCATCATCTTCACTCTTCACATAAACAGGACTGAAAGTTAACTCTGTGATCTCATTCTCCTCCTCTTCCTCTTTAATCTGAGGAGGCTTCTGATCCTCCTGGTCTGGTCTGGGACTCCAGTCGTCCTCCTCAACAACCAGCTCCTCTTTGACCACCAACACTTGTTGGACATCTGCAGGAAACACAAACAAGTTATGTCAGTTTTCATATTAAGTGAAAACTGTTCATTATCAAACTTTGACAGTAAAAAAAACTAAAAATCAATGTACTAAACTGTTTGGGGGAAATCTGACCACAGCACTGCACCACCAGAAAAACATGCTACAAGCACAATTATCAAAAAGTCTTATCCATCCATCCATCCATCCATCCATTTTCTTCCGCTTATCCGGGTTCGGGTCGCGGGGGCAGCAGCTTCAGAAAGTCTTATCAATGTTAAGGTAACCTTATTAAAACCACTCAGCGTCACACATACATTTACAAAAAATAGAGAACAAATCATGTTGAGAGAGAATTACCATAACTGTTAGGATTCATATATTTTGCAAGCAACAGAAAATAAAATCAGACTTTACATTATCTTATTTTATTTGAGGAACTGCAGTAAGTGTGTTCTGTTAAATGTTACTATACAGCAAGAGTTTCAAAGTGATTCCTGCCTAGAAAAATAGTGAAGCATTTTGCTTGAACTTGGTTATATGTAAATAGTGAGAGTGACAATGCTAAGAAACTTTTTTGCTATATTGGTTTTTTCCATTTGTTTTGTTTATATTTCTTACATTTAATAAGTGTTAGTTTGCGTTTGAAGGTGTGAAATAATCATTGAAAACAAAAATATTGTTCCTAAAATGCTAAAGTGAAGGAAATATGTAAACATAATCACCATAAAGCTGAGAGTCCGGCTGCTCACCATCTGGTGGCTCTTCCATTGTCCTTTCCTTTCTCCAGCACTCTGGTTTTCTTACGTTTTCATACAATCGCATAAGAATATTTTCTCTTCTTAAAGTCCATCAGAAACAGTTTGTTCTCTATCAAAGTGTCTCTGACTCGCTGTGCAGCTGTCTGCCTCCAGCTAACTGGCTACGCTAACACTCGGAGCCGGTGCTACTTCCGGGAGAAAATTCAGCTAAAACCAATTACACACAACATTAAAAACACAATCGAAGCTATTAATAATAACTTTAATAGAAAAGCTATTATAGTCGTATGACCTTCTCAACGAAGTAACTTAATACACCGAAAAAAAGAAACTAAACTTGCTCTCGTAGCTTCTTATAGTGGAAGGTCACTTCCGGCCGTTAGTTTTCGGGTCGAATTGACCTTCAGAATAAAAGCTGGAGTAACCAGCGTATACTGTTAATGTTCTTTACCGACACCCTGGACTTTAATGCTCTGCTCTGTTATATTGAAAAAGATACCAGAATCACAGTATTTGCTGACAGAGGCCTGAACAATTAGAAATAAAAATGCTCGGTACAAGCAGCTGTTCCACACACGAGTCGGAATTCCCCTGTTAGCAGATAAGCACATGGAGAAACTCCATAACTGTAGCATAGCATCTGCTGTAAACTAGAGGGAAGTGTACTTGTGACGTCAGCAAAATGCCTCCTCTTTGTGTTTTAGCATATATAAACACTCACATTTACATAAAACGTGAGCTCATCCAAGAACAAGGAAACTACCTCTTCTCAGGTAGCCTAGCGATAACCGAGATCACTGACGTCATAACAAAGCGCTCTTTTAAAGTCACAGTACAGGTATTAGAGTTAATGAGTTATTTAAAACTCTAATACATAACCAAAAATGAGGATTATATAGTGCTAATCAGAATTGAGTGAAATTACAAACATTCTGATAAAAAATAACAGCATATTTTCTAAAGTTGTTATACTCATTAAATCACAGCATTACATTTATTTTAGAGTAGTAGAAGACAGAGTGATAGTAAACACAGGTGGAAATCATTGACTGATCAATATATTTACCTGTCACTTTTAACAATAATTGAACTTGGAAAGGAAGCCCAGGAAATCCTAGATCCAAACTTTTTCCTTATCTTCTAAAAGAAGCAAAGTTCTTTGGACATTTTCTATCTACGTAACTTTGCTAGCTCTCTGACTCTGGTTAAAAATGTAACCAAGAAAGTTGGATCTGTTATTGGTATAGACCTTACAAAGTTCTTAAAAAACAAGACAATAAGGTCAAACCTGAAAATGGCAGGAAATGAGAAACTCATAAGATGATCGATTTGACTGAGAAGGTCCTGTGTGCCTGCAGATGAGATACTTCTTAATACATTGTTTAAAACTCTTATACTGTTTTTATTTCCAAGCACTCAAATCACTGGGAAAATGGCATGTCCTAAATCAAAACTTGAAGAAAACGTCTCAGTCCACAGGAAGAGAGATAAACATGAGTCAATATTTTTCTTCACATTTATTGTAAAATCTGGAAGTTTTACAATATTTAGCTTCTCTGTGATAAACCGAGCAAATACTTAGTTACATTACAATAATGATCAGCTTTATTCAACAACTTTGCACACACCAACGAAGAACTGACTTTGGCTCCACTTTGCTCTCAATAAAGACATTAAAAGTATTAATATAAAAAACTGATCACTGATTTAAATCTGTAAACATAAAATTGATCAACTTCTGGAATCTGAAACATCTGGAACCACTTACTGGTGAGTTTGGGGTTGTTGTGTTGCTAAAACACCAATTTTAAATCAAGTTTATTTGAATAGGACATTTCAGCAACAAGCCACTTTAAAGTGCTTCACATGATCATTTTTGGGAGGGAATTTCCTCTACAGTATACGGAAACAACACTTCTTCAAGTATTTTGATATATTAAAGCTGCTAACAACATGAACAATTCTGAAGGACTAGATTATTGACCTGAATGGACCCTTGAGTGTCTTACAAAGGTTTTTTTCCATTTGAAAGTGGCCTTACAGACAGAACAGCTGTAAGGTTTTTCTCCTGTGTGACTTCTCATGTGAACAGTTAGATATGACTTGGAACTGAGGTTTTGGCCGCAGATCCTGCAGCTACAAGGCTTTTCTCCCGTGTGGATTCTTGCGTGTTCTGACAACGTTCTCTTTTTCTTAAAAGTGGCATCACAGACAGAACATCTGAAGGGTCTGTTCTCTGAGTGGTTCTTGGCATGTTCTTTCAAGGTTCTCCTGGATGGGAAGTTCCTGTGACAGACGGAGCAGCTGAAAGGTTTGTCTTTCGAATGACATCTCATATGTCGGGTTTCACTTTCCTTCCTCTTGAACTTTTGTCCACAGATGGAGCAGCTGAAAGGTTTGTCCTCGCTGTGACACGTCATGTGTCGATTTACGCTCTCCTTCCTGCTGAATGCTTGCAGACAAACAGAGCAGCTAAAAGGTTTCTCGTCACTGTGACGCCTCATGTGGTAAGTTAAAGTTTCTTTCTTTCTAAATGTCTGACCACAAAAAGCGCAACTGAACGGTTTTTCTCCACTGTGTGTCCTCAGGTGCTGCACTAACACATGTTTCCATGTGAAAGAGGCGTTGCAGACGGAGCAGCTGAAGGGTTTCTCTCCTGTGTGAACTCTGTTGTGTCTCAACAAATCCGACTTTTGGTTAAATGTTTTCCCACATTCACTGCAGCTATGGAGCTGCTTGCCTTTCTCACCTACAGGAAATGTACTGTTTCCTAAAGAGTCTGAATGAGATGGAGTTTCACCGCTCTCCTCCCAGTTTCCATCGCTGACGTCTGTCTCAGAAGAATCTACATGACCTGATTCTGAACCTGAAGAGTCTCTGTTCTTCTCAGGTTGGCAGTGAAGCTGAGGTTTCTCTTCATCATCTTCACTCTTCACAGGATTGAAAATAAACTCTGTAATCTCATTCTCCTCCTGTTCCTCTTTGATTTGTGGGAGTTTCTCATCCGGTTTGTGACTCCAATTCTCCTTCTCAGCAGGAAGCTCCTCTTTTAAAACCAACACCTTCTGCATGTCTGCAGGAAACATAAACACAGGCAAATCACAAGAGGCTCACAAATAAAACAAAAATACAAAGGGAGACAACTGATCAAATCGAGATTACAAGCCATAACAATAAACACAATAACGAGGTTGATCACTGAAGTTTTGAGGACATATGAGCTCCAGGGACAAAGGGAACTTAATTAAATAAGTTGGTAGGTTGACGCCAGCATGATATCAAAAGGAGAATTGTTACTAATCGGTTCAAAAGTTGCGTAGTTTATATAGTTGCAACATTCCAATGCGACAATAATCTAACATACACGACCAAGAAGAAGATCTGGACTGGCCATCTCAGTCTCCTGCCAACGAAACCAACAATTTATAGAAACTGAATGTTTTTTCACAAAGCTTTACCATCTGATTAAAAACCCAGACTCATCCAGTTTTCTTTAACTACCAGAAATGACCTCAAGCTGTTGTTCATGCTGAAAAGGTCAATACATAATAAGAAGAACTAAGATATGTAAACTTTTAATCAGGATCAAGTGGGTAGTTTATGTTGTTGCTTTTATAGTTAAAAGGGCAAACACTATTCTTAAAATTAAATAAAAGGAATTTGTATTATCGTTAATAATTTTACTAAAAAATGGGCCATAAAATTGGATTAAACTTATGAACAGCTTAAAGGGTGAGGCTGTATCTTGTTTATTTTGTGGTGTGTATGGCAAGTCTTGTTTTGTCACTTGCAAAGGAGAATGTTGTTTTTGTCCTTTGTGATTCTTATAAATTAAACCAGGGGTCCTGCAGCCTTTTTACGATCCAAAAAGCCATTTTTTACCCTCAGCCCAGCTAAATAAAACATGTTTACAGCCAAAGATATCACATAGCTTTAGTCAGAAAAGCTGACTTTAGAAAAAGACAGCTTTTCATTTTTGTTATGAATATGTTCTATTGTAAATTTGTTATTTTAAAAATCCAAAATTTTATTTATAATTTTACATTTTTAAACTTTTGCAATAAGAGGATGGGTACATTTTCTGCGATGGGATGTTATTTGAGAAAAATTATATATGAAAAGGAAGAATAAAGAAAAATCTAAATTTCCAGCCTGAGCAGAAAATTGATCTAAACAAATAGACACTTAAGTAGTGTCAACACAATGACACTCCTTTAAGTGTTTTCTGTTGTGAAAATTCAATTCCGTTATTACATGACAAAAAAAAACAACAAACAAAAAACAGAAATACTGCAAGAACTTGCATTTTTTTTATTATATCTATATCTTTTTAAAAAATATTTCTATATCATTTTAGTCATGATAAAAAGATCCTGCTGTGACTCAGATTGTCACTCATTTCTGTCTATAAAACCACTTTCAGCTTAATTAAAACAAGCATCGACATTTTGTGTTTTTGCAGGTTTGTTCCGTCCTCCTGAATGCTAAACATTACAGAATTGAAGATCAAAAGTACCGTCAAACTGAGAGTCCATCTGCTCATTGTGTGTCGGTTCCTCCATCTCTGTTAGCTGTCGTTTCTCCGACGCTTTGAACATCTGAGGTTCCAGGTTCTGATGGAGCTGAGCATCACTCAGCTCCATCAGAAACACTGTCTGTCAAGCTAACACTAGGCTAAGCTAACACTCTGAGCTTCTGTTGCTATCGGGAGAAAATTTAACTAAACAAAGTTGTCAAGGATAATTAAAAACATTGTGACTTTTTAAACGTGTGTATAAGTGACGGGGTAACGCAGCGTTAACCAGGACATTTCCCTACAGTCAGGAGGAAACTAAACGTTGTTCGGGTAGCTTCTGCTGCTAGGAGACAAACACTTCCGGTAGAAGTGGCGTCAAATAGCCTTCAAAATAAAAGCTCGAAATGAATGGCACTCCAACGCCACAAAGTTTTTCCAGGCAGGTTCTCCAAATGACCAAACCCATTGTGTCCAAGAAACAAAATGTATTTTAGTTTTTAGATTTAATAAGTTTTATTTAATGAGACATTTATTTTTCATAGAAAATCCATTCATAACAAATATTCCTAACACTATTTGTACCATTCTTTCTTGATATGTTATTCATATGTTGCACCAAAGAAAAACAGCTGAAACTAGCATTTTAAAATTACTTTTACATTTTTAAAATATTGCTCTTTTTTATTAGTATTTAAACGACAGTGAAGGATCTAAAGAGCTGCAGGCTTTCTAGCTACCAGCTAATTAATGGACTGACTGTTAATTAGCTGGACACAAACCACACAAAACTATAAATGTTAAATGGTTTTAAAATAAGGTATATATTTAAAAACAAACAACAGAGGTAAGAAAAGCTTAGCACACAACTATTTATTATGAAATTATCAAAACTGTTTAAATCAATTACTGATTTAAAATAATAGAAATAACAGGCTAATACAGCACAGTTTTAGGGTAAATCGAATAAATCTAAATGAAACTCTTTAAAATGAATAAAAATAATCATCTTCAATCAGATCGACTGTTTTTTTTTTCATTCAGAGATGACCCGTGAGGTGAAGAGATTCTGCCTTCAAAGGGAGAAGCCATAACTACAAACATCAGTGAATGTTCAAAAGCTGTGCATGAATGTGAAGGAAGGATAAATATACTTCATCTGAACAAGTTTCCATGTAAAATTCCTATGGAAGTCACCCAACCAGTCGACTTGTGTGTAATTTAATGAATCCAGCTGTTCTCTGAAGGCCTCATAAGTTTGAGAACATTTATGAACAAACAGCAACATAAAACCAAACATCACAGCATACGGGTCAGGGAGGAAACTGTCGACACATTTTAAGAAAGTTGGAGTTAAAAAACATCATCCTACTGTTTTAACACCCCAATCAAGAGTAAGGCACAAATACAAACTTATCAAGACTAAACTCTGAGGCCAGGCAGGATGAGCTTTAATCTGAGACACAGCCGAGAGCCAACAGAGACTTTCTACAGGAAATAGTCATTTGTATAAACCTGTCACAGTCATGCTGCTGATAGTAATTTGATGCTGATGTGTTAAAAATATACATCTATTTTTTTTACAACCAATAACAAAATATAACTCCACAAGATGTTCAACATTCCTCAATTAAATTTTTTTTTCATGTCAGATTTCTCCTAAAGTTGCTACTTAATTTTCATATTATGACTTTATTCTCATATTATTTTGACTTCATTTTTGTATTATTTCAACTTTGTCATATGACTTTATTCTCATGTAATTTTGACTTTATTCTCATATGTATACAATTTTATTCTGCAATTGTTCTTTTGTTATTTCAAATTTATTCTTGTAATTAAAAAATATCTTAGCATGGCCCTACTACTCCTCCATACTGCAGAAGCTTTCTGTTAGAGGCCATGATGAGAAATGTTGATGAACCTTGATTAATCTGCAGTTTGAACACCAACATCAGCTCAGTTTGCTGCGTAAGCTTAAACATCGTTTCTGATGTGTTTTGGACCAGGACAGCTGGGTGAACTTCTTGTTGCAGCCCTTGCAGCTGTACGGTTTCTCTCTGGTGTGAACCCTCATGTGCAGCTTCAAGCCGTCCTTCCTTTTGAAGGTGGCCTTGCACACGGAGCAGCTGAACGGTCTCTCCTCTGAGTGGGTTCTCATGTGCTGGATCAAGGCGTTCTTCCTGATGAAAGCCACCGCGCAGACGGAGCAGCTGAAAGTTCTCTCACTGTCATGAAATCTCATGTGCCGAGCCAAGCGAACAGCTTTGTCGAAGCTTTGGCCGCACACCTCGCAGGTAGACTTGCTGTGAATTTTTGTGTGGTTCACAAAATCTTGTTTTCTCCTGAAGGCTTCCTGACAGACAGAACAGCTGAACGGTTTCTCCCCTGTGTGAATTCTTATGTGCTCCACTAAAGTTTGCTTTAGCTGAAAGCGGGCCTCACAGACAGAACATGTGTAAGGTTTTTCTCCTGTGTGACGCCTCATGTGTCGATTCAGGCTCTCCTTGACGCTGAAGTTTTTGTTGCAGACAGAGCAGCTGAACGGTTTCTCTCCGCTGTGGGTTCTTAAGTGTCGCTTCAAACTGTCTTTTCTTCTAACAGTTGTCGGACAGTAAGGGCAGCTGTGTGGTTTCTGTCCGCTGTGGATTTTTGAGTGCTGCACCAGCGTTTTCTCGCTTGAAAAAGGCGCCTTGCAGACAGAGCAGCTGAAAGGTTTCTCTCCACTATGAGTCTTTATGTGCTCAGCTAATTCACGCTTGCACAGAAAACCACAGCCGCAGATGGAGCAGCTGTAAGGTTTTCTTCCAGTGTGTCTCCTCATGTGCTGAGTTAACCATCCCTTCCTCCTGAAGTTCTGGCCACAGATGGAGCAGCTGAAAGGTTTGTCGTCACTGTGAGTTTCCACATGTTTCATTAAGGCGTATTTCCATATAAAAGCCTGCCGGCAAGAGGAGCAGCTAAAAGGTTTTTCTCCTGTGTGGATTCTCTGGTGTCTTAGTAAATAAATCTGAAGGCTGAACTTTTCGCCACATTCTGCGCAGGTGTGTAATTCACCATTTCCTGACTTACCATCCGCTGAATCTTTATTACTTCTAACAGAGTTTGTATCTGATAAATCGCTGCTTTCCTCCCAGTTTCCATCACTGACATCGGTTTCTGCGGAATCTGAAGTGTCATCTTCATTGTCTGATTCTACACACTGATCCGGTTCTGGTCCAACACAAGCTCTGTCCTCTTCGGTCTTGCAGTGATGAAGCTCTGAGGGCTGGGGTTTCTCTTCATCATCTTCATTCTTCACATGGACAGGACTGAAAGTTAACTCTGTAATCTCATTTTCCTCCTGTTCCTCTTTAATCTGTGGAGGTTTCTGCTCCTCCTGGTCTGGTTTGAGACTCCACTTCTCCTCCTCAGCAACTACTTCCTGTTTGACCTGGTGGATGCCTGCAGGAAAACAGAAACACACCCTGGGTTATTTTTCTATGGAGATGATCCAGACACTATCAGCTGTACAAGAAATGCATGAAACCAAAGAACTCACACATTTCTTGTTTATAACACAACAATCAACAGCAAAAACTTCACTGCACTTTGAGTATTTCTTGTCACAACAAATTTACAATAAATTGTCTCAGAAGTTACTGTGATAAATTATAATATTGCAGAGTATTTATGCCTTATAATGGAGAATTATAGAGAATTATAATCTGGTAGTAAAGGAACATTTTTAGTTTAGATTGCAAAAATGTAAAGGTATTGTGGGAAAAGGACTTTGTAACTGTATTTGGGTACAAATTGATTCACTTACTGGGAAATGTATAAGAGAATGTAAAGGTAAACTTACCCAATATAATATCATTCAAGTACATTACTGTGCACCTGTTATATTAAATAGAATTGGTCTGGTTTTAAAAATGACCCACTATTTGCTGCCCTTAAAGTAGATATCAGATGTCTGGAAAAATTAAAAGGTTAAAAACAAAGAGAAAGAGCAGAGACTTTACCAGAAAGTCGGGGAGATTCTCCAGATTTTGTTCCAGTCGGTTCTTCCTCTGCTGGTTCTGGTTGCTCGGTGTCTGACTTCATCATCCTTTGGAGCTCAGATATCTTCACACAATCAGAGGAACTTCTTCTCCATAAACTCCATCATGAACACAACCTGATCACCGTCAAAGCGTCAAAGCTCTAACAACGTCCCGTCCTGTCGCTCAGTATGCTAAGCTAACATTAGCTTAGCTGCTGCCAGAAAAAAGAAGAAAATGCTGTTAAAATAGCGACGAACTTACATTTAGACACATTAATTGGCCAAACTAACTCCCTCTAGATGGGAGCTATATGGAGAAACTGAACATAGAGCAGAAGCTGCTGACAACGACGGACTCACTTCCGTTATTCTTTGTTTTCTCTAGTGCGCCTTCAAAATAAGAACTCAGGTTTGGCTACTGTAATCCCGAACGACTAACAATATTCTCGTAATTTTGCTTGATTTTAGTTCGTACTAAAGAATAATCAGTGGTTATGTTGTGCATCAGGTTACAACTGAAATCACATATTTTACACAGACTCTTAAAAAATACATTGTTTTTATGACTTTATTTATTACTACGACCTATTTCATTAAAGAAAACATTGACAACTGCTCTGTTGCCACGTAGAAACAGAATTATTGATGATAAGCTCAACCACTATAATTTGTATTAAATCGAAGTAATTTTTTAATGTTATTTTTAATTATATTTGATAAAGCTCTGATAAATATTAAACGGAGATTGCCGTAGTTTGAGTTTCATTTTGAAAATCATTACCCGGAAGTAGTTTCCAACCGTTCCGTATTTGTTTACGTTGATAGGTTAAAGTCGTTCGGAGTAACATTTGGCAGTTTTAACTATTTTTAAAGAATGGATCTACATCAACAAAAATCATCTGCTGGATCGAGACACACAGGTTCGGTTCTGTTTCTCTCTTTGTTTTATATTCATCAGTTTGCTCTGAAGTTTATATCTAAAATCGATGCTAAGACAAAGGTAGCTAAGCTCCTCTTTCAACACAACCTGGCACCTGATATCGTTTTAATTATACTTATGCATTAACATTTTAAAAGTTTTATCGGTAATTCGCTGTATTTTATGCTTATTATGTATTGTAATGATGGCATTATAAAATAACATCGATCCTGTGGGAATCTGACCATCCCTTTAACAATTTGTGCTACCTTATGTTATTTGCTAAAAGTGATCGAAAATTATAGTATCAGAACCCAAAGAGTGAAACATTTAACTCATTGTCATTGGCAAAGACTCAACTAAGACAACAGTTTCTGTAACTAGTTGTGTAATAGTGCTTGTTAGGACCTGGTAATAACTCTGAGCGAGAGGGGGACTGTTGTGCAATTACTGCACACAAAGTTAACTATTTACACTTACTTCTGATACAAGCGGACTCAGTCTGCTGATGTTTTTTGTTGTTATCTTCTTTTATTTTTTGGCTCATAATTACTTGTGAACTGACCATTTTGGCCCACATGATAAAAAGTTTGGACACCTCTGATTTAGAGAGACTAATTAACCAGACAAGGTTTTGGACTATGGGAGGAAGCTGGAGTACCCAGGAGGGAACCCACAGACTCACAGGGGAAACATGCAAACTCCATGCATAAGAATTGGAACACAGTTGTTCATGTGGAATAAATCTAAGGAATGACCATCAGTAGAAATGCTCAATAACTGGTGTCACCAAAGTCTCTTTACATGTTTTTCTTTTAGCTTTTGCCTGTTTTTTATTGCCTTAGATCCATTTTGTGTTCTACTAATACATTTTTAAACATGGCAAAAACGTTTTGCTGAAGTAGTGAGTGAACTGTAACAGATTGTAACTTAAACTAAAGCTAAATATCACTAACTCATCCCATTAATGATCAATATTTTTTCATTTTGGCCCTAAATTTGATAGACCATGCCCATTTTCAAAACCCATCTGAAACATTATTGTTTCGCTGGCTTTCAACCCAACAGAGACTTGATTTTACTTAATGTTTTATCTGTTTAACTGCGTAATTTTATTGTGTTTTGAATTGAGCTTTTAAGTAATTATTTTGTACTTAGTTTTGTCACTTTAATTTTATGCTTTCTTTTGTCTTATTTCCTTATGACTGATGTTCAGCACATTGTTTTAGCTGTGGCTGTTATTAAAGCACTTTATAAACTTTATACTTTGAGAGGTTTAACGTGGCAGGTCATTCATATATAAACACTAATTCAAACATAAACTTGTTTCTGTTTTTTAGCTACCCTGCAGGTGTTTGAAGTAAATACTACACCGGATCAGCAGATTAATAGCTCTGGACTGGACCAAGAGAACAAGTTTTATAAAGACAAGAAAAACAGTCTGCATCCTCCTCAAAGACTAACTGAAGCTAATGTTTTTAAACATACAAGTGAAGACTACATGGAGGACGTTAAAAACTGCCACTGCGCACAGCTGAGTTTAAATAGCCAAATAAAAGAAGAGGCAAGTGATTCGGAAAGTCATTCTGACACAAAACGGCTGAGCTGCTTTTTCTGTGCAGCAGAATTCACAACAGGAGGTCTGCTGACGATACACACCTCAGATCATACAGGAGAGAAGCTGCTGACCTGCATTATCTGCAAGAAAACCGTCAGTTCAGAGTCGGAGCTTGTTAATCATGAGTGCAACTCTCTTGAGCATCCTCATAAACAAACCGAGGAACAGATTCCAAGCAACAAGCTGCTCTGCTGCTCTCAGTGTGGCGACAGATTCTCCACGAGCGAAGACCTCGACCTGCACCTCAGATGTCATTCCAGAGGAAAACTGTTCAGTTGTTCGGTCTGTAACACCAGCTGCAGCGACAAAGACTCGCTGATTCAGCACATGAGGCTCCACACCAGACAAACCCAGTTCACTTGCCACGTCTGCGGGAAGGACTTTGCCTGGAGGAGGCACCTCACCAAACACATGGAGGTGCACAGGAAAAGGAAGAAGGTGTTCCGCTGCAGAGTATGTGGCGCTGAGTTTTGTACCTATTATCTGCTGTCTAAACACAAGACTATTCATCAGACATCAGAGCTTCCTCAGGAACAGACCGAGGAGGCAGCTGAGGGTGATGACGCTGGCACAAAAAACCTGGTGAACACAGATTCTGAGCTGCAAAAAGAGACCAACATGGAGGTTTCAGCGTCTTTTAAAACTGAAAATGACCTGTGGACAGACTCAAGTCAACTTCTCCCAAATTTCAACCTCAATGGACCCAACAACGTTTCTGGGCCTGACAGGATCACAAAGATACAGAAAAAGGTGAAGGAGGAGGATTTCCAACCTCCGCAGATAAAAGAAGAAGAAGAGGAGATGGAAATCGGCAGGTTCACTTTCAGTCCTGTGCCGATGAAGACTGAAGAAGACGAAGAGAAGCCTCAGTTCTTACAGCTTCATCCCACAGAGGAGCATAAAGACTGCGTGGAAGAAGGGGAACCAGGTAAGACAGAAAAAACCTCAGAGTTTTCCGACCCCGACACTGACGACAGCGAATGTTGGAGACCAAAAACAAAACTTGGGTCGGGTTCGAATTCAGAAAGCGATTCTGGCAGAAATCCTTCCAGTTGCTCCGATAACAAACCGTCAGAGTCTCTGCAACCCGAGAGCGACGACAGTGTCGACAGCGACTTCTGGAAGGACTACAAGAAGCCGCAGTCGAGCACAAACCTGCAGAAACAAGAGCCTTTGGAGAAAGGAGTGAAATATGTGACGGATGTAAAACCATACAGCTGCCCTCAGTGTGGCAAAGCCTTCCGCTACAGCTCCTACCTGAAAATTCACATGAAGCAGCACACAGAGAGGTACTTCTGTTCCATCTGTGGACACAAATCCACCTCCAGCTCGAACCTCAAGGTTCACATAAGAACTCACACTGGAGAGAAACCGTTCAGCTGCTCGGTTTGTGGGAAAAAATACACAAATAAGGCAAGCATGCTGTCTCACATGTCCATCCACGATGCGGAAAGGAAGTACAACTGTGACACGTGTAAGAAAAGCTTCGCTTGGTTCACGGAGCTCAAATACCATCAGTGTGTCGGTGAGTTGTCAGGGGAACGAACACACGAGGAGGATGCGAGCATCAACCTGAAACGATACACGTTATACAGCTGAAGTGACTCATCTGCAGAAGTTGCTTCAATGACTGTTTTTGAAAAATTTCCTGAAGCTTCTTGAAAGTTATTTCCTGAAGCTTCTTGAAACAGTGAGGTCTTTTCTGAAAAATATTCTCTGAAATGGTTAATTTCCTAAGGAAGAGCTCAGCATTGCCACCTTCTGATATAAAATAAATGAAGTTCAAGTTAAAGTGTCTTCTTGTATCCTATGGAGCTGGTTTAGTACGTGGTTTACAGGGAAATCTGCTTCTGCAACTGAACACCATTTTTACTGAAGAACTTACAAATGTATTTATTTAATAATCTTCAGCTATGCTGTATCTAAAGTTTTTTGGGGTTTGCAAAAATCCAGAGTCTAGGTCTGGTCTTTTATATCCAAAGCTAAGAATGAGTTTGATTCAAGAGAAATCAATAATGTTTTGTATCACTCAACTGTTTTATACATTTATCTCAATATGATGAATTCTTACATTCATCATATTGAGATAAATTATGTCATAAAGAGCATCTTAGGATAAAAAATACTGATAAGCTAAAGTTGAAATATTACTAGAGAAGCTGCAGCTCCACTTGTATCAGGAATAAAAATGTAATGAAATAGTATTTTTATTTGTTTCATCTTTTTACGATTGTTTTTATTTATTTGTGTTTGTTTTATCTGAAATCCTAAAAGTTTGGGATAAAAATCACCAAAGCGAATCTATTCTGAGAATTTCTTCATAAAGCTTTACAGAAGCAGGGATTCTGAATGACCGCCTGAAATAATCAGGTTTCCTGATGTGTTTGTCAGGTTATGTGGTTTTGAAATGTGCTGATTAATGCAACAGGTTGAGACTGAATTTCTGTTTCAAGACTAGAATTTGTTTTTATTTTTTAACTTAAATCAATAATATTCCAATGAAATGAGTCCAAACTGCTGCCTTTCTAGATGAACGGTTGTAGTGGGTCTGGTGTTAAATAAAACAACACGGACGATGCTAAGGTTGGTTTTGTTTAATTTATTTGCAGATTTACATTTTATGTTGTAGTACTAAGGACATTGTGGATAATTGGCCATAGAGGAGTAAATCTCCACAAAAAATGTCAGATTAACAGTTTCAAGAAAAAACTTGAATATTCTTTGATGTCAAAAAGTCAATAATTTACTGGTTAAAAATGGACCATCAGATAATAAACTTGGGGTTTTTTTTTGTTTGTTTTGTTTTTTATGAAGTTTTGACTAAAATGCCAAAG